AGTGGGGAGAGTGAGGGAAGGAGAGAGAGAGAGAGAGAGAGAGAGAGAACCGAGAGTGCGTGTGTGTTTTTAAAGTCAGGAATCCATTTTATAATATGATGAATTCTCACCTTTTCCCCTGAGGAAACACACAATTGGGCTCACCTTTAGGAGGGTTAAGGAGCCAGAGAAGTCCACCCATGGACACTATTATTTTCGAGACAGGGTTTCTCTGTGTAGCTTTGGAGCCTGTCCTGGAACTCACTCTGTAGACTAGACTGGCTTTGAACTCACAGAGATCCGCCTACCTCTGCCTCCCAAGTGCTGGGATTAAAGGTGTGCACCACCACCACCCCGTACTATGGACACTATTACTTTTATTATTTTGCTGTACTGGGGGATCCAACCTGGGGTTGAGTATATGCTAAGGTAAGAGTTCTACCCCTTGCAGCCTCCCTCCCTCCTAGTGTGGTGGTGTTCCTAAACACAGGGGTGCTTTAATGGGGCTTGTGGTGTGATGTGATGCCTGAGTTCTTACAGTTATCCTCCTCATAAGTGAGACGCCAGGAAACCTACTGATAAACCAGAGCTCATCACTACTTGTATGCCGAAGCAAGACGACTCAAAAGGAAACGCACAGAAAATGAACTGGAAAAGGCCGGTCATAGGATCTTGCTTCCCACCTGCAGAGGGTAGGTCTCCACCTAAGCACAATTAGACATGAAGAAATGGGATGTTCTCCTCAGAAGCTGTGCTAACTTAAGAAGAGAAGAAATAGAGTGGCAAGACCGATATGTCACAGAGGAACACCTGGTTCTAAGCAACTAGACAGGAAGTAGTTTGCACGTACCACACCAGCCTCGGGATTTCTCTTCCTCCCGTTGCTGAAGGTGGATGCCAAGGTGGAGGAACAGCTCTCATCGTACAAGGCAGTCCTACCGTCGTTGATGGCTGAGTTGATGGAGATCGTCCACATACTTGAAGCGTAGCCATCACAATTGCAATCATCATAGCTGCCGCCGTCCCCGGAGGCCCACACATAGATGCTGCCTTTGCCTCCACGGCCCTGGTAGATCAAGGAAGATGTGGTGCCAAGTCCAACATTGAGCAACCAGGAGCTGCAGGGTTCTGGCCTGCGGGTGGGGGAGGGTTTCCTGCCCAGGTAAGGTCCTGGCCTAGGAAGGGTCAAGATTTGAGCCAATGCTACTATGCAATCAAATAACTGAATTTTCATTTTACCTGGGCTGGAAACCATATTCATCTGATGGGAGATAGTAGAAATGACCACCCCCTCCAAGAACGATATAATATAAAGTTGCCAATTTGTAATTTTAACTTAGAATAGCAGGTTAACAAAGGCTAGAAGCGATGCTTTAAAGTTTACCAATAAACTGATTTTCAAAATGCTATGTAGATAGTACATGCTTAATATAAAAAGTGTCAAAGTGTACTGAAAAGAAAAGTTAAACTCCCCCAGGGGCAATCAATGTGATGTTATTCTTACATGTAAGTGTTCAGTGAAATTTAAGTGTACATGTCTATGATTATATTAAAGTACATAAGATGTATATGTAGAGATAGGAACCAAGTATATGTTAACCAGTATGATATAAAAATTTACATATGTGTATAGCTTTAAAAATCCAGTTGGTTATAACAGAATCCTACTGGAAATGCTACATGCCATTTGGCATGTGCAAAGGACCAGCTCTAGGAATAAAGCCTCAGGTGAGGAAGTAACAAATAGCCAATGACATCTGAACTCAAGAGGATAGCATGGTAGTTATCCCATTTGGCCATCAGTTACAGAAAACAAGCTGTGTTACAAATGACTCTGAGTCAGTGTTGCTTCTTTCCTTGCTCTCTATGAGTATAGTCTCTTGTCTGCCTTAACCAGGATTACGCCACTTGCTTCTTGCTTTCTCCTCTGCTATTCCTAAGGCAGT